TACAGTGAATTTGGAGCTTCTATTCCAGAGGGGGAAACATCATAAACAAGTCGGCCAATGTAAAAATCAGGTTTTAAAAGGTGATAAGAAAATACATCCTGATAAGGGAGTAGAAAGCAGTGAAGCGGAGTCAGGGAGGACTTCTCAGAGGAGGTGACATTTGAGGAAGAAACTGAGTGATGAACGGATCCAAGAGAGGGTATTCGAGGCATTGTCAAGACTTTGACATTTGAAAGTAACTCGTCACTGTAAGAGATGACCCTACCCAGAGGAGGAGAGAGGCCTCACCCAGCAAACCCACTGTCTCCCTTGTCCCCTGGGGATGCAGGGCTCAGAGGGTACTGGAAAGAGAGAATAAGTCTCAGCTGGTGGTGGGAGGAGAAATGGGTGGGCATATCAGAGAACCTGGCAGACAAGGGAGAGCATCAGTTAGTTATTGAGCCAACACATCTTACTAATTGCTGGGCATCATCCTGGGCACTGGGAGACAACAAGGAACAAAGCAAAAGTTTCTGCCATCGTGGGTCTGACAGTCTGGTGGGGAGAGCCAGACAGTCAAGCTATCCACAGATACAACAGTGGTAGGAACCGCGAATGGGACGGCGTGACCAGCGGTGGGCTGCTGTACTTTAGAGGCTGATGGCTTCTGTAAGGACATAAAATTTGCGACCCGACTGATGAGAAGAGACCAGCCAGGCAGAGCTCTGGGGGAGGAGCCTTTTAGTTAGAACAGCAAGTGCAAAGGCCCTGGGGTGGGAAAGAGCTTGGCTTCTTGGTGGGCCAGGTAATGGTGCGTGAAACAGGGATCAGGGGAAAGTGATGTAGAAGATGATGGTGGGAGGGGGCCAGGTAATGTTCAGCCTTGTGGACCATGGGAAGAAATGTGGATTTTATTCTGAGTGCATTGGGAGGGTTTTTAGTTGGACAGAGAGCACAATCAGCCATATGACTTTGCCCCTCTGGCTCTGGGCGACACACAGAGTGCTGGCATGCGTGAAAGATGAGAACCAGGATGATGGCCGGTAGTTGAAGAGGGAAGGCAGTCACAGTGGCCATGGCAGGCAATGGTAGTGGAGTGCCGGGGTCTGACTCAGGATACATTTTGAAGGTGCAGCTGACAGCATTGGCTGGTGGATTGGATGTTTGAGTAGGGCAACCAGAAAAACCAGGAACGATGCCCAGGCTCTTGACCTGAGCTCCACAACAGGATAGTCAGGCCCTTGAGGAGTGAGTTGGCCAACCTGGCAAGTTGGCAGTAGAGCCAGGACCAGAAAAGCCCAGTGTCGGGGTCGCCTTGGACTCGTGCCCCTCCCCCACCACCTACCATCTGCCTCATATAGGACCTCAGCTCCAAGTCCAGCAGCCTGGCCACCAGTGACCCTTACACATTCCAGAACCCCGTGCCTGAGTATACATCGGGAGCTGATCACCTATGTACCTGGCATCCTATATTCCAGAAGCTGAATCACGGCAGCCTTAACCAGCAGAGTATGAATTCACAGCTAATTATAATTGCCACCAATTAATCACCATGGCCAAGGCTGGCTGGCTTTCCACAGCTCAATTATCACCTGGATGCAATAGTCTGTGAGAGCGGGGAGCTCCTTTGTGAAGCTTTAACTGACCTAGTAATCCTGAGACAAGACGTGTCTACTCCCCAGCACGTAGACAGTTGTAGTCAAGGACAGGGGGGCAAATGCTGCCAATTTGCAGCTCACTGAGTGCTCTATGCTAGGAAGGAACTGGTTTATCCTGCAGAAGCTGAAACTTCAAACTTAAGGACTTTGGAGGGCCGTGCATGGTGAAGGCTAGCCACTACTATTTTAGTATAATATAATTGCCTATATCGAGGGCGCCCAACGTTCATTAGGGGCCTCTCGTGGACTGGGAGTCCTCTCCTCAAACCTTTGTGAGGTGACTCTCTCCATTTCTGCTTTCCACCCGAGCAAGGGTGAGCTGTTTGCCCAGGGTTAGACACACAAACAGGATCCCTCCCCAAGTCCGTCAAGTTATTCATTGAACATTTGTTCTTTGTGGCAAGCACCATTCTGAGAACTAAAGATGGAGCAATGACTACCCTTATAAGATTGTCCTTATAAAGTTTGTATTTCAGGAGGAGAGACCAACAAAAGTAAACGAATATGTCAGAGCTGGTGAGCTCTGTGAGGAACAAAAGTCAGGGAAAAGGGACAAAGAGCAATAAGCCGATGGTCAGGAGGGCCTCTCTGGGCAGGAGGCTTTGAACAGAGACCTGAATGAGGAGGAGAAGCCCCCCATGAAGATCTGAGGAATGAGCCTTTTAGGTGGTGGAAACAGCAGGTGCAAAGGCCCTTGAAGCAGGAACATTCTAGAAGTCGAGGTCGGGGACTTTGACCAGGGGCCTTGAAGGTCATGATAGGGTTTAGATTTGGTTCTAATTGTGACATTTCTACATTATCGCCAAAGAAAGAAGAAAGCAGAGTGCCAGGAGCCCAGGCCTGGAGATGTTTCTGGGCTGGGGAGGAGCCAAGGAGGGCGAGTGGGAGTCCGAGGGAGGAAAACCCGAGATCAGGGTCCGGAGTGACAGCAGCTCTGTTCCTCCTACTCCCGGCCCCCAGACCAGCAGTCCTCAAACCCGGCTGTGCACCTGCAGGGACAGACTCCCAGGGCCCATCCCACACTTCAGAACCGGAATCTTTGGGGTCCAAATAATACCCGTCCCGTCCCCACCAGAGTTTGGAGCCAGGTGAGTGAGGCAGAGAGGAGCCCCAGTGTCAGTGGATGACTGGAGACGGTGGTGAAGGTTTGGGGGCTTGAGGTGCTGACGTGCTGCACCCCAACGGGCCTCGCTGCCCCGCTATGCCCACCAGGTGGCGGAACACGCAGGTTCTCTATAGAGAACAGAGACCCCCAGACTGGTCCCAGTCAGAGAGGCCGCCCTCCCAGTGGGGGGTGGGAAGCCAGGACAGGGATGCAGTGATTCCCCGCCCCCCCCCAGTGGAGATTTTTTAGATAAACTAACAGTCTCAGGGACTTTGGGTGTGCGGGCTGAAGGAGGATGGGCGAATCCCCCATCTCCAGCTTGGGCGGCTGAGTGATGTCATGTTCGGAGGTAGGGCACCCTCACGTCCCCCGTGCCTCACTACCCAGATAGTAATGCATTCGTACGAGCTTCTGGGCTTGGACAGACCACCTTTGGTGAAATTTTGATTGATTAATTTTTCCAATTATAAAATTAACCCAAGTTCATTAGGGATAATTTTGAAAAGACCAGAAAAAAAAGTCCTATTTGACTTCTTTCTCTCCCTTTTTCCTCAGCAATGGGCTTTTTTTTTCCTTAGCTGGGACCCTATTCTCAAGTAAATCTATCCATTTTAAAAAAAATTTGTTTCAGGCGCCTCGGTCGCTCAGTCGTTAAGCGTCTGCCTTCGGCTCAGGTCATGATCCCAGGGTCCTGGGATCGAGCCCCACATCGGGCTCCCTGCTCGGCAGGAAGCCTGCTTCTCCCTCTCCCACTCCCCCTGCTTGTGTTCCCTCTCACGCTCTCTCTCTCTGTGTCAAATAAAGAAATAAAATCTTTAAAAAAGAAAAAAAGAAAAAAGAAAAGAAAAATTTTGTTTCATTATATAAGCATCTTTTCCAGATTTGCAAACTTTTCTTAAGAATCTTTTTTGTATTGCTTATTCTCCACGCGGTGGATGTGCTGTTGTTTACATAACGGATCCCCTGATGTTAGAAATCTCCAGATTGCTATTACTTCCACGTTATAAAGACAGTGGTAGGGTCTTTACTTACTATTTGCTGCATTCAGGATTGTTTTCTTAAGATTAGCGTTTCAGAAATAGAATTCCTGGGCCAGCGGGGATGCACATCTTTCCCCCCTCCTTTTTTTAATTGGGTAAAATACACATAACATAAAATGTGGTACTTTAGGCATTTTTAAGGGTACAATTCAGTAGCATTAAGCACATTCACTGTGTCTGCCACCACCACCGTCCATCTCCAGAGCTCTTTTTTTTTTTTTTAAAGATTTATTTATTTATTTTAGAGAAAGAGAGAGAGCATGAGCAGGGGGAGAGACAGAGGGGAAAGAGAGAGAGAGAGAAAAATCCTCAAGCTGACTCCTTGCTGAGTGTGGAGCCCGACATGGGGCTCAATCCCACAACACTGAGATCATGACCTGAGCCAAAACCAAGAGTCGGCCACTCCACCGACTGCGAGCCCCCCAATGGGCCCCCCACTTCACCGACTGAGCCCCCCAGGTGCCCCTGCAGAGCTCTTTTCAACCTGCGAAACTGAAACTCTGTCCCCCTAAATGCTAACGCCCTCTTTCCCCCTCCCCCAGCCCTTGGTCGCTGTTCTACTTTGTGTCTCTATGATTTTGGGAGTACGCGCTGTTCTCAGGGTTTTTCTGTTTTTTTGTTTGTTTTTAAAAATTTTATTTACTCCTTTGAGACTCCTTTGAGTAAATTTTATTTACTCTGTATCTCTCAGAGATATGAGAGAGAGAGAGAAAGAGCATGAGCAGGGAGAGAGACAGAGGAAGAGGGAGAAGCAGGTTCCCCGCTGAGCCAGGAGCCCGATGTGGGGCTCGATCACAGGACCCTGGGATCATGATCTGAGCTGAAGGCAGACCCTTCACCGACTGAGCCTCCCAGGTGCCCCTGTTCTCAGGTTTTGATCCGTATTGTCAAATGTCCCTCCAGATGGTCTATATCAATGCACACTCCCACCAGCGAGGTCCTCGAGCACCCACCTGTTTTCATCACCTCCTTAACCTTTGGGATTAAAAAAATTGATCTTTGCTAATTTGGTGAAAAATACCACCTTGCCTCTGGTCGGTGGTTTTCAGCGTTGCACCATATCCCATCCGGGAGGCTGGCCTGTGGTTTGGCTGACCACCTCCAGTGGGGTTGTGCATGTAGGGCGTTTCCAGGCTTGGGGCTGTATCTGTCACACTGCTGTTAAGGTCTCTGTGCTTAAAAGCTAAACTGATTCTCTGCCCTTGTTTCTCTTTCGAGGGCGCTATGATGCACGGGCCCGCGTCCTCATTTGCCATGTGACCTCCCTCTTCCGAGTGCCCTTGGAGGAGCTGGATCTCCTTGAAGAGACGTTCCTTGAGAGCCTGAAGGAAACCAAAGAGGAGGAATCTGAGTAAGGGAGCCCCGTGACCCCAGCCCTGCCTGCCAGGAATTGAGAATTCCCACTTGAGTGCCCTGTTCAAATAACAGATGCTCCCCTCTTCCCTCCCTGCCATTAAGAGCTGGTGCAGGGGGATGGAAGGAGCACTGGACCGAGAGTCCCAATGCAGCCCTGACTCGCTGTGTGGCCTTAGCAAGTCACTTCCCCTCTCTGGTCCCCAGTCCTCAGTTGTACAAAGTGGGGATTGAATGGATTATGGCTGGGGGCATGAGTCTGTGACTTCAAACTCCGTGACCCTGGTACCCCGCTCTGCCACCTCAAGCTGTTGGGACACCTTGTCCATGGGCCAGAGTGGCCTGGATCAAAATCCTATCTCTGACACCCATCTACTTGTTGACCTTGGACAGCCCCCCCCTTCCCTAAACCACAATATTCTTATCTGTAAAGTGGGAATAAGGATAGTGTCTTCCCAGGGTCACTGTGAAAACCGAATGTGGTCATGTGGAGGGCTCGGCCCAGGGCTGGCCCGTAGCAGGGGCGCAATAGATAGGAGTCCTTCCCTTCCCCCACAGGCCCCGGTACGTTCCAGCTGCAGAGCGGCTTTGCTATCTATGCACGGTCGGGCGTGTATAGAGGGAAATTATCCTGGTCGCTTGGCCAGAGCTCAGCTCTTGGCGGAACACCTTCCACGGGATCTGATACCAGAGCAATCAGTCAATCCCGGTCACAGCCTAATTGCAGGCTCTTTGCACCAGGCACGTCTCCCAGCGCCCTCTTTGTCCAGCACGATGGCTCTCTTGGAGCAGCCAGTTTGCGCCAGTTCCATGTAGCTTTGAAGCCAGCTTCAGAGCTGGAGCTGCCCTCTTGCCTGGGGTTAGTAGGGCAAAGGAAGGGGCTGTTTCCTGGAGAAAGGAAGCAACTTGATCTGTTGAAATAACCTGAAAACAGGCTTGTGTTAATACCCAGAGCGGTGTCAGTAAAGAAACACCTGGATCCAGGCCCATGACCATAATCACGAGCAGGGCCCAGAGTCTTGTCTTGTTGCACACGGACAACACACACATATATGTATGCTTGGAAAATCTTAGCTATTTGTTTGGAAATGTTATTATCAGAAAAAAAACATGTTATCGAGAGGATTTGTTCTGCCGATACTCATAATGCCAGATCAGAGATGATGCGAAACAGAAGTTCTAGGAAAGCCCAGCTCAGCGTGTGATACTGGGGAAGTTATTTAACCTCTCTGGGCTTCCGTTTTCCTCATCTGCAAAATAGGACAATAATAGCACCCTCCTTATAGGGTCCTTGGGAGGGCTCAAATGAGTTCATACATGTGAAGTGCTTCAAGCAGGACTTGCATGGAGTAACTGGTTGAAAAATATCATTATTTGCTGTAGAACAATCATCATCGTTAACATCCTACATATGAGCCCTTTCCTCTGAAAAATACTCCACATGTGTAAGTTTTAAATTCTGCTTTAGGGACTCTGGAGACCTTTCAGGTTCTTCCTGTGGTCTCTGGAAGGGTCTGATACCCAAGGGAGGCCTAGAGACTATTGGGCCAGGAGACCTAGTTCTCAGTGTGATTCTACTACTAAATGTCTGTGTGGCCCTGGGCATGTTGCTTTCCCTCTCTGGGCAATGGCACCAGTTTTTTTCACCTAGACAAGTAGAGGATCAAATTCTGTGAAGGTTCCTTTTAGCTCCACGGTTTGTGTTTCTGCAAGGTGAGCTTATCACTCGACACCCTGAGGCGATCCTTTACAGCTCGGGTTCGGAGGATGATGTACATTTCTGTTCTTGGATGCCCCCCCACACCGGAGCCCAGAGGCCATCCGAGCCTCCCCCACGTGTTCGGTGACCTCACTTCCCTGTGCCTCAGCTCCTTCACCTCCAGCAGAGGGGTGATGGTTGTATCTCCATCGCAGGGCTGTTAGGAGGATTAAATGAATGGATGCAGATCAGAAGCTTGGACCAGCGCCTAGCACATAGTAGGTGCCCATAAATGTTAGTGCATGTCCTGCTGGCTTGACACTGACCACATCGGAATGACATGGTCAACACGTAGCTGTCCCTGAGCGCTCAGTAGATGCAGGACAAGATGCCATCTCATCTGATGCACAGACAGTCCCCTGATGGTTCTGCAGAGGAAGTAACAGAAGGTCAGAGGGGTGACGTACCTCAGCTAAGGTCACACCACTGGCCAGTGGCACCATCAGATTCAACCACCGTATCCATCTGAACGGTACTCAGTGCATCCCTCACGGCATGGTTGACACCCCCAGGTTCCCTCCTTAATTCTAAAGAAAGCAGTAAAGATACTTCTTTTTTTTTTTTTTTTTTAATTAGGCTCCATGCCCAGTGTGGAGCCCAATGCGGGGCTTGAACTCATGACCCTGAGATCATGACCTTAGCCGAAATCAAGAGTCAGATGCTTCACCGACTGAGCCACCCAGGCGCCCCAGTAAAGATCATTCTTAATGGGGCTTTCTGCGCTTTTACTTAGGAATCTGTCTGTAGAACTCCCAGAAATAAGCTCTCCCTCTATCAACTGGAGAAGGTGATTTTAAAAAAAAGAAAAACAAGGTGTCGATAATGGTAATAAGGATAAGAAACACCCTCTCATGGTGGGAGATGAGTGGCAGGGGGTGACCTTTATTTGTGGATCCATGAGATGGGCAACATGGGTGTCTTGCTCTTCACCATGTATACGTGGCTTCAACCTCTGTCCTTGGAAGGCTGACCTGGAACGCCAACTCCAGGTCATTTCTGGCATCCCAGAGCATGAGCGTGGCAGAGATTGCCATGGTATCTGACCTGTGGGTGGTCAATAATGGGAACGGGGCTCTATTTGGATTTAGCGTCATGCCCTGAACTCCCATATCCAAATATAGGAAGCATTGTAGACGTAACTCCCAGCCAACATCTCCTGTGGTGCTTTAGATGTTGAAATTCAGTCAGACAATGGAATTAACTGCAGGAGGAAAATGCTGTGTTAATTAATGAGGATTGGCAAAGCCCTTCGTTTCATGTACAAAACAGTTATTAAGAACGTTCGAGTACTTAAATAAGGAAATCAGTTTGGGTTAATATTGAGAGAGAGGTCCTTAGCTAAATAACTTGGGGGAAAAGACTGTGTTCTCTTTGATTCAGTAAATTTTTATAAACATTTAAATAATAATGCTAGCGATTAGAGTATACCATCCATCTAATCTTTGTTAAATGGATTTGATACACTAGGATTCATACATTTAAGTAAAACAGCTTCAAGAACCATATTTACTGTTTAGGTATTTTATTCCCTTTAGGGTATGAGCTCCCCCCGCCACTCCGCATAAACTCCCCTAAAAGGGAAGATTATCTAGTATCACAGTTGCGCAGATGTCGCTGCAGGAAGAATCTAGAAGCAGAAATTTATATAATTTTACAACATTTCAGATGGATCCTAGTAGCTCAGAAGTTTTATTCTTGATGGTGATTGGCCTGTTCTCTGGCTAAATATTTTGTTTAGCCACAATGCCTCGCCAGCTTTATAGATGTAGGCAGTGCGTGGGGAAGTAGATACTGTAGCAACATGTTCCCATCCAGTCCTTGTTGGAATGATTAGGTTCTGTTCAAGAAACATTTTCTGAGCACCCTCCAGGTCCCAAGCCCAGGACAAGCTGCTGAGGGTAGAGAGCAAGAAAGGTCCTGTCCGGGCAATTGTCCAGCTTAAGATACAGCAGGTCCCTGGAGGGCTTGCTGTGGGTACAGCTTCCTGACCACCTGCATGCCCAGACCTTCTGGCCCAGGAAGCTGTGATTTTAACAGCTACCCTGGGGGCTTGTGATGCAGTTGATACAAAGCCCTACCCTTTGAAAACCCGTGGTCTAGAAGTCCATGCTGAGTACAGAGGGTTAGGGGCCCCAGAGTCCAGGCATTTAGGCAATCCTGGGGCTCAGGCAGGCTTCCTGGAGGAGGTGACTCTTGAATGATGACTAATGTATAGCCAGCCAGAGGAAGGTGAGAAGGTCCTTGACAGCCGAGGTCCAGCAGAAGCGCAGGGACTGAGGCCCAGGCAGTGCCCAGGGGCAGAGCAGTGTTTCTGGAGGGCAGACTAGGAGTGAGGAAATAATGAGCAACGAGGCTGGAAAGGAGGCAGGGGCCAGGTCACCGAGGGCCTCAGTGTCATGCCGGAGAGGTGACATTATCCTCACTCAGGGCAGAGGGCAGGGACACGGAGGCTGGGAGGGAGAGAGGCAGACGATCAGGGTTATACTATCTATCACTACGGTGGTGGTGTCCTCATCCCCCCATTTCCAGTCCCCAAGTGAGAAAATTGTAGCTCAGGAGTATTGGGTGACCCAGCGAGATCGTGGTGGAACTGGGCTCGGATGCCTCCGCCCCAAATTTCTGCACTGTTTCCCAGCCCGAGTTTGTGAAATGAGATGCCGCCGATTCAGAGACAGCTGCTTGGCGCATGCGCATTCCTGTTGCACGGCCTCAGCAGCCTGAGTCCTTTCCTCAGACCTTGAACTCTGCCAAAAACAACTAATGGCCAACCTTCCTGTTTGCACGGAGTGGTGCTGGCGATCAAAGGCCAAAGTATATCTCCAGCCTGCATGCAGGAGGCAGTTATCGTAATAATGAAAGGAACAATAATAACAGCAAACATACTGACTGATTACAATATGCCGAGATCGCTGTGTGTAGATTATCTCATTTGCCCTTCCAGTGCCCCCGGGGATGAAGTGCTATCATTATCCCCACTTGCAGGGTGAGGCAAGTCAGATAGGTCAAATAATTGGTACTTAGTCACAGCAAGTAGCTCAACCAACAGGATAGGCTGGCTTTTGCTGCAGTTAACAAATGACCCCCGAATCTCAATGGCTTACAGCAACAAAGGTGCATTTCTTGTTCATAGTAAGTGTCCATTGCAGACTGGCGGTGGCTTTAGTCCACACTGCACTGTCAGTCCTGGGTCCAGGGTGACGGAGTGACCCCTATCTGGGATGTTGCTGGTTCGTGGCAGAGCAGAAGGAGGCTCATCAGACCCCTGCGCTGACTCTTAAAGATTGTTCCAGAAATGACGTGCACACACGCCTTCCACTGACCTTCCATTGGCGACAGTGGGTCATGGGGCCCCTCAGTTCAGCAGGGCAGGGATGTGTAATGTTTGTGCAGGGAGGACCAGTACAGGGAGGGATAGCCGAACCTGGTGGATGGTGCTCCACTACCACACAGCAGAGGTCGAGGTCAAGTTCACAGGGCCAAATCCTGACATCAGAACCCACGCTCTGTTGCCATCCTGCCTTCTGCTTTGCTCAATGTACACAGTTCAGCCTCATCCCACGTCCAAGGGCATGAATTTCAGCCACGGAGAAGCAGCACCTGTGGTGTGCATGGGGACGTTGATGTTGGGTTTCCGCTTCCCTTAGTGAAGTAGCTGTGAAGGACTGTACTCGACACCCGGAAAGGGGGTGTGGGAAAAGAATTCGTTGAGGTGAGCCAGCAGAGAACCAAACTGCGGAGCAGCTCCTGAACGCCCAGCTCAAATCCCACTTCTCTTCGATGACTGGAAGATGAGCTACTTCTCAAGACAACGTGCGGTTCAGGAGGAACGAGATGGGAAGGAAACGGGTCTTGGTCGAGGGCTGCGTGGTTCTGCTCACAGATACTCGACATGCAGAAGTACCAGCACAAAGCCCACCCTCAGTGACGGGTTGTTGGTTGGGTAGATGAAGAAAGAATGTGTTCCATCTTTACAACCTGCAACCTGACGTGATAGCTGTTGTTAACCCCATTTTACAGAAGAGGAAGCTGAGGCTTGGGAAAACGCGCATAGTCTCGTGGTAATAGCAGCCACCGTTTCGGTCACCCCTTGCGGTGTGCCATCATGCTAAATGCGTGACAGGCATGCTCTTCCTCGATGCCCACAGCCCCTCAGGAGGGGGATGCTGTTGTCCCTTCACTGGTTTGTCATTCAGGCACAATAATAAAACTGCTTCCAGGGTAAGAGAAACCATGTGAAGTACAAAGCACGGCGGCTGGCAAGAAGGATCCCAGTAAATATTAACCATTTTCCCTCTTGATTATCATGCTGTCACACTATACATTGAGTTGTCCAAACTCCAACCTCAGCTCAGAGTTCGTGCTCATGAGGACTGCACCGACCTGCCCTGGGTCCCTCATCCTGCTCCTGATTGCCCCACAGCACGGGGGCCGCCCACCTGACACGGGGGCCGGGCTTGATGCACGCTAACGGCGGCTGTCCTCAGCTTCACCTGACCCCGTTCACCCCACATGTTTCCTTTCTGCTCGATTTTATAGCTTTTAAAGGTCAAGTCTGGCTGATTGTAGCTATTGCCCCAAGGCCAAGGTCTCTGACAGCAGACATTTTCAGCAGGAGATGGGATCAGATGGTGGGGAGCAGGGAGGGGAAGGGCAGATGGGGGCGATGGAGTCTGTGATTGTGTTTGTACTTGTTCTGGGTCCATCTGTTCGAAGATATTTTTTGTGCTGCTTTTGCTATTATTTTTTTTTTGTCTTTTTATTATTCAAATTGCAACCCTGTTAGGATGGATCCATTGGGTAAGTAGCACATCCCACACACTGGGATTTCCCAGCTGGGTTTTAGAAACTTCTCAGCTTCTTAAAACCATCGACCGGCCCAGGGTGACTTCGGTCCCTCGCTCTGCATGGCAGCGTGCGTACAAGCATGGATCCTAGCTGGGGGCTCGGTGAGGCAGGGTGGTCTCAAGGGGTGCCAGGCACAGCCAGCCCTAAAAACCAACTTCTCTCCCCCAGAACGGCTGAGGCGTCCCGGAAGAAGAAAGAAAACCGGAGGAAATGGAAACGCTATCTCCTGATAGGCCTGGCAACTGTCGGGGGCGGGACCGTGATCGGTAAGGCCAGCCCAGGCTGGGCGGGGGCCACATGGGGCCAGGGCGGTGCGGAGCGAGGGACGATGCCAGGCTCGAAGCTCGAGAGGACAGTGTAAGGGGGTCAGCTGGGAGGTGGCCCCCGGCACGCACCAGGTGCTCGGTCAGCAGGAAGTGCATTCATTCGCTTTCTTAGAAGCATCCATGGAAGGCAGTGGGTGGCCAGTGGAGGAAGAACTGGGTAGGCCGCATCTTCCTGCCTTTACCTACCATGGGCTGTTTTCCTTGCAGGCGTGACTGGGGGTCTAGCTGCCCCTCTCGTGGCCGCTGGGGCTGCCACGATCATTGGCAGTGCTGGGGCAGCGGCTCTGGGCTCAGTGGCTGGCATCGCCGTCATGACCTCGCTGTTCGGGGCGGCTGGAGCTGGCCTGACAGGTAAGGTTCTAAAGGAATGGTGGCCTCTGGGGGATGTTCAGCCAGGGAGCCCTGGTTCTTACAGGACAGACCTGGATTCTCACCCGGGATGGCTCCCCAGGGGACAGAGGAGGACATGGCTCTTCTCACGCTGGGTCCCAGCCCTGCGGGAACTCGCAACAGGCTTCCTGCATTTACCAGTCTCACCGGGGGAAGGGGTTCTAAATCATATGTGTCAGCAGCCCCCTAGTCACACAAGATCCCTGTTCCACTCCCCGGGGGGAGGGGGGGGGGTCCATCCCTCCCCACATGGAGAATCATGGTCAGTTTGATCCACTTTTTTGAGAGGAGTGTGTTACACCCGTGATGTTCGTGGGAAGAAAAGATCTAGAACCAATGGGGTCAGGATGGAGCAGTGAGTTCCAGCCCCAGCTCTGCCGTTGGGAGCCGGCCGGCCTTCGGAAGCCTGTTAGCCTTGGCTGTAATCGGGGACAATGATGGCAACTACCCTTTAATGACTTAAAAAATGAGACATTTGTCCAGGGAGAGGGCACGCAGTTGGCACTCGGTGTGAGTGTGCAAGCACAGAGAGCCACTCTGACTAACATTCCTGGGGTCCCCAGTCATCTCCACCCTCATTTTTGTATCTGGGTCTTTAGGGTACAAGATGAAGAAGCGTGTCGGGGCCATCGAAGAGTTCACATTTCTGCCTCTAACAGAAGGCAGGCAGCTGCATATCACCATCGCCATCACAGGATGGCTGGCATCCGGCAGATACCGTGAGGACCAGGGGGCAGAACAGAGAAGGGTGGGGGGATGGGGGAGGTGTCACCTGAGCTGGGACAGCTGCTGTGGGCCAAACCCTGGCCTAGGCTCTTGCCTATGTATACCGCTGGAGGGGTGGGGGAGGAGCCCCATTTTGCAGAGGAGGAAACTGAGGCTCAGGAAGGTGAGATGACTTCATCCCATACCCACCCACCCACCCACCCTTCACCTACCCATCAGTCTGTGCACGCACCCATCCATCCATCCATCCATCACCCACCCACCCACCCTTCATCTATCCATCAGTCTGTGCACGCATCCACCCATCCATCCATCCATCACCCACCCACCCACCCTTCATCTATCCATCAGTCTGTGCACGCATCCATCCATCCATCCATCCATCACCCACCCATCCACTCTTCATCTATCCGTCAGTCTGTGCACGCATCCATCCATCCATCCATCCATCACCCACCCATCCACCCTTCATCTATCCGTCAGTCTGTGCACGCATCCATCCATCCATCCATCCATCACCCACCCACCCACCCTTCATCTATCCGTCAGTCTGTGCACGCATCCATCCCATCCATCACCCACCCATCCACTCTTCACCTATCCATCAGTCTGTGCACGCATCCATCCATCCACCCATCCATCATCCACCCATCCACTCTTCATCTATCCATCAGTCTGTGCACGCATCCATCCATCCATCCATCCATCATCCACCCATCCACTCTTCACCTATCCATCAGTCTGTGCACGCACCCATCCATCCATCCATCCATCATCCACACACCCACCCATCCGTCAACCATCCATCCACCTGTCTACCAGTCCACCCACCCACCCATCCATCACCGTACACCCACTCACCTATCCACTCCTTCAGCTATTCACCCACTCATCCGTATATCCATCCATTGGTGCATCCATCCATCCATTGCCTATCTGTCCATCCAACTGTCTATCCATTTGTCCAACCATCCGCCCACCCATTCATTCATCGATGCCTGCATCCATCTATCCACCTATCCACTCAACCGTCCATCCATTCGCCCATTCACTCACCCACCCATTCACCTATTAATTCATCCATTGAGCAGTACTTCCGGAGTATTGTACACAGCACGTGCCAGACATTGAGCCAGACCCTAGGAAATCAGTGGTGAGCAGCAATGCCATGGCCTTGGCTCCCATGGAACATGTGATCCAAGGGAGAAAACAGATGACTGAGCAATAATTACAGGGAAGGTTTATGGATGGCACAGTACAGGAAACAACAGAGTGTTTCTGGAGAATGAGGGGAAGGTTCCTGGAGAAAGTGACATTTAGGCTAAAGACTGGGAGTTAACTGGGTAAAGAAGGACCAAGAAGTATAAACCAAGCAAAGGAGCAGCATGTACCAAGGCCCAGGGGTGCAAAGGAAGCACAGGATGACTGGAACAGGGAGCTAGAAGGCAGGGGCATTGACAGGGTCAGATCATGCTGGAGCCTGTGAGGTGAGGCAAGGAGTTTGAATTTATCCTCAGAGCAAGTAGGAGAGAGCAAAGGATTTTAAGCACGTGACTTAAAGTTGAAAGGACTTGAAGTAGGTGAGAGATCAGTACATCTTGACTGTGTGACCTCAAGCAAATTACTTAACCTCTCTGTGCCTCAGCTACTTCATTTGTAAAATAGAACAAATTATTCCTGCCTTTCGAGATACTTGCAAAGTTTAAGTTAAACAAGCTAACACATGGAAGGCACCTGGTTTCTCATTGACATTCCACAAACATTTGTCCCCTTTGCTGCTCTAATTTGAACATGCGTTTCAGGGAGATTCTAACCAGGGTGGCATCAAGGACTAACACTGTGATCCACCCACTGCCTGGCTCACTGTTGCAAGTGCCCAGTGTGAGGATCAGCAAACAGTTCATCACTGAGAGAGAGAGGGAGAGAGAGAGCAGGGTGGGTCAAGGAACCCAGAGCATCCCAACCAGACACGTACTGGCAGCCTCCTCAGTTCCCAGATCTCTCTCCTGAGTTTCCAGATCTCTGGGATCTGAGGGTAGAAGCCACAGCTCTTCTAAATAAGACAGAAGAAAGCAAGTGAGAAAATGTCCAGGCTCTGTGTAGAGGCATCCATCCACCTGCATCTGCTCAAGTGCCAGAGCCTTGTTGGTGTGGGATGGCCAGGCCCCATCCCCACACAGTGGGCCTCCAGTGTTTACTGAGCACCTAGTCCATGCCTACCCCGAGTCAGGCATTTTACCCACAAAGTGGGAACTTGATATGCCTTACCCCCACGGGATCCTCACATCCACCCCCTGAGGTGGGGGCTGGTCCTGTCCTGATCTGGCAGAAGAGGAAGCCCAGAGGGGTCGCATGAGGTTCAGGAGAGTGGCAGATGTAGGATTCGAACCCTTGTCTCCCGACCCAAAGTTCATGGGTGTCTCTGTTCACTCCTTTCCGTGATACCACGCTGCAGGCCGGACCGAGTCGGGAGGGAAGGAGTAAGAGCAGGCATCTAAGTTAAGGAATTTGTGATTCTGCCCAATCTGGAAACAAATTCCTTCTCTTTGTTTTACCCTCACTCGCTCTGTTGGCCCCAGGTCAAAAGCCAAATTCAGTGTGATTTGCTCTGTTGGCCCCAGGTCAAAGGCCAATTCACTGTAGCAGGAAGAAACCCTCTTCAGTGTTCTCCACCAGCCTGGTGCAGCGTGCTCTCCAGACAAGGGGGGGCGGCGGGTCAAAGAAACGAGCAAACTAGATGAAGTTCAGGAGGGAGAAAAGGGTAGCTTTTCCCGTCTCTGCTGGGAGAGAAGCCTGTGTGTGATAGGGATAGTTGATTCTCTGCACCCCAGCCCTTGGTTAAGGATTATGCACACTAGGGACAACAGTTTTGCAGCTACCCGGGCACTAGTGAGAGCATCTCGGGGGGCCTTGCTCACTGAGTCCCTCGTTCCAGGCCAGGGAGGTGGGCATCATTGTCACCCCCGTTTTATAGATAAGGAAACTGAGGTGCACAAGGGCTGCTCAGGGTCACCTGGCTAGCCAGGGACTGGGGCAGACTTATCACTGTTCTGTCTGGCTCCATAGGGCATGTTTGGGGCCTCGGGGCAATACAGCGCTTTAGTGTTTATATAATGCAGTGCGTGCGACCTCTCACGTGATCCCCACGACACTCAGGAGTCAGATGTTATAATTCCATTCTTACAGATGTAGGACCCCAGGGGGCATGCCTGGCTGTGTGAGCCAAGCAACCAGGAAGCTGCCGAGCCGGGACACAGCCCTCCTCACCCTTACCCTCCCCCCACCCCAGCCCCTGCTCTCTACCCTGAGCTGTCGCGGAGCCGTGACAGGGTCCCTGCAGAGGGGGGAGCAGCCTCAGGGTGGTGCTTGCATTGGCCTGGCACCCTCCGGTAGGGATGAGGCCTTTGAGCCAGGCAGGGAGCTGACTCCCTTGTCCTTCTTGCCGAATAGAGTGACTGTGTGATGTGTGCACCTCCCTGTCCCTGCCGACTGAGGCCTAGATGGCTCAGTTTCCTCAGCTACGAAGCAGGGCCAGTGGTGGCACCCTATTTCAGAGGCCGTGGAAGATGCAGGTTTTTTCCGGGGGGGGGGTGGGCAGAATGTAAGTGAGAAATTGGGGAGCAATGGGGCTGGGAAGGAGGCAGGAACCAGCTCACTGAGGGCCTCAGTGTCATGCCGGAGAGGTGACACTGTTCTCACTCAGGGCAGAGGGAGGGGACGGAGCAGGGGAGAGAGGGAGGCAGACGGTCAGGGTTGGACTTGTGTCTGATGTTGGTCACTGTGGTGGTGCTGTCTTCATCCCCCATTTCTAGTCCCTAAGTGAGAACACTGAAGCTCAGAAACACCAGGTGACCCAGTGAGACTGTGGCAGAGCTGGGCTCAGGTACCTCTGCCCCAAACTTCCAGATCGTCTCCCAGCCCGAGTTTGTAGAATGGCTTCCCGCTGATTCCCAGAGCCAGCTGCTTGGCGCAGTGCGCATTCCTATCATCCATCCTCAGCAGCTGATGCCAGAATGACTGCAGGGTGAGCGAGAGTAGCCCTTCACACATAGAGAAGTTCCAACACTTCATTCCTACGACTACACCGTAAAGGGAGCTAAATATTCATCTCCCCACAGCACAGATAAGCACAGTAAGGCTGCGGGTGGGATAGTGGTGTGCCCAGGGTCACCCCACTACTATTGAATGCAGAGTTGGGACTCGAACCCCAGCCTGCTGACTCCCAGGGTGGTGCCGTGCTTCGCTGACAGCTGCCGCTCATCAGCAGGGGTGGTCCTCTGGTCCTCTGTCTGCCCACAAGGACACGTGGTCCCCGTCACAGACAGGAGAGACCCCCACCTACCTGTGTTCTCCCCTAGGCACCTTCAGCGCCCCATGGATGGCCTTAGCCCGCAGCAGTGAGCAGTACTGCCTGGCCTGGGAGGCCAAGTACCTGATGGAGCTTGGCAATGCCCTGGAGACCATCCTCAATGGTCTGGCCAACATGGTGGCCCAGGAGGCCCTGAAGTACACGGTGTTGTCCGGTAAGCCCCCGACCCCACACCCTGCCCCACGACCAGCAGCATGCCCACTGCTACCATATCTTTGCACACCCGAGGCTCCCAGGGAGCCAGGCACTGTGCTGGTCTTTAGGAACACAGAGAAGTGAAGGCTGCATTCCTGTCCATGAAGTTTATGGTCTTTGCAGGGAGGGGACAGGTAAACAACCGACCACATTGTCACACAGCTTATCCATTAGCTATTGCTGCATAACAAGCAACCCCAAAACCCAGTAGCTTAAAACAGCAGTCATTTCTCATTAACAGCAGAGAAGTCACGGGGCTTCATTTGACTGATCTTAGCTGGGCCTGCTCATGCATCTGTGGATCAGCCGACTGTCCAGTGATCTAGGCTGGCCTTGTCTGGGGCAACGAGAGCAACTTGGCTCTGCTCCATTTGTCTGTCACCCTCCCCCTGGGATCAGCAGGCTAGCCCGCACCAGCTGTGGAAGTGCACAAGAGGCTGGCCCCCATGCACAAAACCATTTCAAGCCTCACATCAACTCATATCTCATTGGCCAAAACAAGTCCCGTGGCTGAGCCTAGTGTGGATGGCAGGGCAGGGCTGGGCACCGCAGAGTAGAGCACAAAGTGGGAGGACACAGGGTGGAGTGACAAATCAAGACCATCTTTGGAATCCCAACCATGACAGATGCTTGAACAGAAGGAATCTAGTCCATGAATCAAAAATGCATGAGCTGCAATTTTCTTCATTGCTATTTAGCAATTTGGCGGCCCTTGGAAAACACACGGGTTCCAAGTTCAAGACTCTGCATGCGTTCACTTGGGCATCCATTAGCCAGCCCATCACTTCCCTAGAAGGGCCTCCCCGCACTGCTTTCCTCACTGATACCCCACCTCTGCAGGCATCGTGGCTGCCCTGACCTGGCCAGCCTCACTCCTCACTGTCGCCAACGTCATCGACAACCCCTGGGGTGTGTGTCTCCATCGGTCAGCAGAGGTCGGCAAGCACCTGGCCCACATCCTGCTCTCCCGGCAGCAGGTACCTGGGGCTGGCTGTGGGGTGCGGGGCGGGGGCAAGAGGGGAAGTGAAGAGCTGACCTGTGCACAGACATCAGCCCTAGAAACAAGCCCACATGGAGACAGTCTAGTGGCTTTGGGGGGGCTGAACGGTCTTCACCGCTCCATCTTTCAAGTCACAAAAGTATCCCCGGATGGACCAGTGAGAAGAGAATTTGAGATTGTGCATTTCTAGCAGGTAATTAGGTAAGCACTGAATAACGGGTATCTGCGGGGTTGGACAGGGCCAGGAGCTCCTTCCTGCAAGCATAGAGCTACCATCTGAGCGGATCTTCAGTGGTCCACATACCACATACGATGGTCAGGAAGATAAAGGATCATCAGACTTTTAAAATTTGGGGGCACCTGGATGGCTCAGTCGGTTAAGCGTCTGGCTCTCGGCTTCAGCTCAGGTCACGATCTCAGGGTCCTGGGATTGAGCCCTGCATCGGGGTCTTCGCTCACTGGGGAATGTGCCTGAGGATTCTCTCTCCCTCTCCCTCTGCCCCTCCCCCTTCATGCATTTTCTCTCTCTCTCTCTGTCTCTCAAATAAATAAATAAATCTTTATTAAAAAAAAAAAAACTTTAGGGCACCTGGGTGGCTCAGTCGTTAAGTGTCTGCCTTCAGCTCAGGTCATGATCCCAGGGTCCTGGGATCGAGTCCCGCATCTGACTCCCTGGGAAGCCTGCTTCTCCCTCTCCCACTCCCTCTGCTTGTGGTCCCTCTCTCGCTGTGTCCCTCTCTGTCAAATAAATAAATAAAATCTTTAAAAAAAAAAAACTTTAAAAATTTGAATCCAGTACTTACTAGGGAAATGAAACTGCCCCCTTCAAAATAAACTTGAATAAATGGAGACAAAAGTTTGGGGAAAAGTTTCAGAGATGACTGTATGGTTAGGATTAGTTTGAGCTGCAAGTGAGAGAAAACCCCAAATCACAGTGGTTTACACAAAGCGGAAGTCTGTTTCTCGAGGAGAAGCCGAGGAAGGCAGTCTTACACAAGAATGCTTGCCATGAAGAGGTCCAGGTGCCTTCTGGCTTGTTGCTCTGTTGTCCATGGTCTTGACCTCATGGTCCCAGATGTCAGCATCAGCTCCAGCCAGCAGGAGAAAGGAAGGGCTGAAGATGAAAGAGCAAAGGCCTTGTAGCATTTCCACCAACGTCTCATTGGCCAGACCCTGGTCCTAGGACCATCCCTACTGGCGCAGAAGCTGGGGAAGGTCGTCTTTCTTCTGCATGTCAGTGAACCCAGCTGAAGTTCAGCTATGGGAAAAGGGGAGGATGGACATTGAGGGACAACCAGCAGTTTCTGCTACAATGGGTAAACTGCTTGAGAAACAAGACCCCCCCGCCCCTGATTTCTGTGTCTTTGCCAGAAGGAAGAAGTCCTGTGCCAGGTTTGGCTGTAAGGCAAAGACCAGAGTGGTATTGGCTTAAAGAAGGCGGGAGTTTACCCTCTCCCTTGGAGCAGGCTGGATGTCAGCATCCGGGGCAATGCTATGTGTCTTTGTTTCTTCTTGCTGTAACATAGGACCATAGGCTTAAAACAACACAGATTTATTATCTTACAGCTCTGAGGTCAGAAATCTACCATGGGTCTGCAGGGCTGCATCCCTTACAGAGGCTCCCGGGAACATCCACGACCCCACCTTTTCTGGCTGCCAAAGGCTACCTACTTTCTTTGGCCAGTAACTCCCTTCCTCCAGCTTCCGAGCTAGCAGTGTGGCATCTGTAGATCTTTCTCTCCGTCCCTTGCTCCTGCCAGCACATCACCCGTCTTCCTCTGACCCTCCTGCCTCCCTCTCTGTCACATAAGGTGGCACTCACGGGGCCCCAGGGTTCGGATGGGACCATCCTCAGGGGGCCATTACTCTACCTCCCACGTGGGAGGCTTTGCAGTAAGTACCAGGAGCCCAGACTCTGTCAACGTCATGGTCACGCGTCCTGAGCATTCGGTCTCTCTTTTGGTCCGAGACACATCTGCTGGCATGACCCCCCATCCAAACAGAGGCAGGACAGTGGATGGGGGGCATGGAAATCACACCGTTGTTTGCTTCTCATGCCTTGGCCCTCCCGAGCTGCAAGGGAGTCGGAGTGACTTTGTCTCTCGCCGGAGAGCTGTGGGCCAGCAAAACTCAGGAGTTCTGTTAGCAGGGGCCAAGGAGGGTGAGTGGGAGTTGGGGGATGATGAGCAGCTGCTGCACACGGTTCCTGCAGAACTGCGCTACTATTTGATCAAGGGTTTCCTGTCGTCGTAGATGGGGGTGGGGGGAGGGAGGGTCAATATGCACGTATTGGCCCAAAAACAAGGAAAAGGAAGAGACTGGCGGGACCAGACCGGACCTTGGGAGCTCCTCTGCTCCTGTCCTCTCCTTCCATGGAGAGCTGGTACCCAGATAACCCCCGTAACTCTTCTTCTTAGGAGTTGCCTTTTCTACAAGTTCTTTAGTCAGAAAATCCTTCTCCATGTCTAACTTACTACCTTCTCTTATTTAAAGGCAATATTTCAGTCCCACCTTCCTATCTAGAAACGGAAGAGTTCTCCCCCCATGTGTCTCTGCCTGTGTGCCCATCATCACACCCTGGGGTACCTTCTGCCTCCTCTCCCTGACACCCCACTTCACTGTAGTCATCTGCCACCCAACAGATGCATCCTGTCCCCTGGGCAAGAAGAGACAATGGCTGGGTAAGGGTTTGAGATGAAAGGGAATCAATCAGCCAGAGGCTGCCCGTCGGCCCTGGAGGAAGCAATTCCAGCAGCAGGTGGATTCCTGCATGAATAAGGGTCCTGCCTGTCCTGATTAAGACATCAGAGCTCTGGAACCAACCAGGGGTAGCAGATGCATGATTCATTAAACGTGAAGCAAGCACTAAGGAGTGTGCAAGGGCCGTCCTCATCAGGGCTGATGCTGAACTGGCAAGTGTACCAACCCCCAGACACCTGTGTCCTGTCTCCTGCAGGGCCGGAGACCTGTCACCTTGATTGGCTTCAGCCTGGGAGCCAGGGTCATCTACTTCTGTCTGCAAGAGATGGCTCAGGAGAAAGGTGAGTCTGGCTTATTGTCACAGATGAAAACCCTTCCCAAGTTCATTCCCCAGGCAGAGGGTTCTGGGCCAGGGATCATGAGCCTTGTGAATGTGTTCCCAGTTCTTGGTGATAGTAGTTAGAAGTTAAAAATAGTTTGAAAATAGACAAAATGGTTAAGTCGTTTGGAAAATGGTTTTATTTTTTCTGTACGTTAATTTGAGTGGATGCGAAACGGTCCTGTAATAATGACATTGGCCTTGGTGTTCTCATGTGCATGCGGTGTTCTTGAGCGGGAGGGAAGGGAATCGGATGAGAAGTCTGAAATTCAGGTGTCGGCAAGGTCACGTTCCCTCTGAAGTTCCTAGGGGACGATCCTTTGTCTCTTCCAGCCTCTGGGGGTGGCCGGCAGTCCCCGGCCCTCCTTGGCTTGTAGATGCATCCCTCCATTCTCTGCCTCTGTCCTCACGTCACCTCTCTGCCCTGTCTTCTCTTCTAAGGACAGTGTCATTGGATTTAGCCCCCCCCCCCCGCAAAGCCAACATGATCTCATCTCAGGATCCTTAACTTTATTACGGTTGCATAATTCAATTACATCTGAAGATACCTCTTCCTAAGAAGTTCTCATCCACAGGTTCCGGGTGGACATACCTTATGGGGGAGCCACCATTCAAGCCAACTAGGGACACCTCTGGGTGTGTGTCTTGCCGTCCAATGACACGCTCTGAGTGTTGGGGCAGTGGAAAGCTTGAGTTCCATTGCTCAGAGCTTGGGTGGGAGAGGTCCCCAGGATGGCATGCCGGTTTGGGACAGATCTGTCAGTGGGGGACAGCTAGCGGAGGGAGGTGCAGAACTTGGGGCCCTGGGAGTGGCGCACGGTCTGCGGGACCCAGACTCACCCCTCTCCTGGGGGAGCACAGCAGCAGCAGACCCCTGAGGCAAGAGAAGGAGCTGACTCAGTGACCCCCCTGGCCTGGGAGCGGAGGGTGGGCAGCAGAGAGAGCTGGAGTTTGCCCAGCGGTCTCACTGGGGATTTCCTGGAATGCCTCTCTGGGCCTTGGCTTCCCCACTTATAGAATGGAGTTATAATACCCAGCCTGTGTGCTTGTTTTGAGGTGCCCTGTGTATAGTATTTCTGCACCTTCTAACCAGATTCAGCTCTGGGATGTTTGTTGGCAGCTTATGCTCTCAGAGCTGCTGCCTGCTTGAGGCTAGCCCTGTAGATGGCCCCTGGCCACTCCTCAATCAGCCTGAGTGTGTGACCTGATTGCTGACCCATTGCCAGCAAGTGAGAAGGAGTGGGAATGTTCGCCATTGGCTGGACCTGAGGGAGCCAGGCGGGGCTGACTGGTGTTATCTTCGGCGTTGGCATCCCCAGAGGGTGTGCGAGAGACCCTGGACCTTAGGGGCCTGATTTATTCCTGTTCTTTTTCTTTTGCTAAAATGTCTCCCCACCTTGGACTGAGAACCAGAGCTGTTTTCCTGGTTTCATGGGCAAGGTGTGCCGTCCTTGGCATTTACCATGGAAGGGCCAAACCCCTGTGGGTGAGCCCTGCAGAAGGCCCTCTCATCTTCTCTCTGTCATTTTGGAGGACTGCCCCACCCCACCCTACTCCCTCGTAGCTTTCAACAGCCCCCTTGTCACCTGGTTTTGTCTGCATCACTAAGCACTGGGGAGATACCTCTGTCCTATTTCCAGCAGCTTTGGGTAATCTGGGACCACTATGCAGAAGGGCCTGGGGAGCCAGCTTGGAGCTGTGTTCACCAGGAAAATCCAGGCTGGGGTCAGAGGTCAGGCAAAAAGCAGCCCGGAAGCAGGGCTGAACCTGGGGCTCTGGGGCAGGTGAGTTTCCACTTCCACCATAGAGAACACCATACTTTCTGCCTAAGTTCTTCCCCTAACTAGACATCACCAGAGCAGAGCAAGTCAAAAAGACATCCCTTACCTGCCTTTCCCGCTCTACCTGGTACAAATAATCCACCTGGGACCTTCTGGCCGGCTGAGAGGAACCCCCTCCCACTATGTCTCCCCGCCCTTAGCTCTTTATCCCCTGCAGTAAAGGGCTTTGTCGGACCACAGCGGCACCGTTGACTCCCCCTGCATAACGCCATGTTCTGTGCTCCTGCAACTTTGTACAGATGATAACTGGACTGTCAGAATCTCTCAGGAAAATTAGGGGGATGGCATTTCTCATGCAGGACACAGGACCTTTGTTAAAAATGTGAGGGTTAGAGGCAGGATGGTTGTATCAGTCAGCTTTGGCTAAGGTGATGCTGCATAACAAGCTATCCCCCGCCCAAACTCAGAGGGTAACAACACCAAATAGTTCCATGCTCAGGATCTGCTGTGGTTTGGTGGCTCTAGAACAGGCTCTGTTTCTGACCGCGGGTTGGACAGGCTTGGCCCCAGGCTGTGGGCTGGGCTCACATCTGCCCCATTTGCGTTTGTCTCCATGAGCTTGAAGGAGCAGCGGCCCCCCAGGGCATGTTCCTCTCAGGGTAGATCACAGAGTGCCAGAGCCAAGGCAAACCACACGCACACATTTTAGACCTCTGCTCATGCCATCTTTACTAACATTCTGTATCAGCTGTTTATTGCTGCAAACAACCTCTCCAAACTTAGTGGGCTTAAAACAGCAATGACTGGGCATTTCTCACAGTTCTGTGGGTTGACTAGGAAGTTCCTCTCCTCCTCGCGCCTGGGCTTGCTCATGGGCTCGCGGTCACAGCTGGAGTGCTTAGAACATGCAAGCCGGGCTCCCTCCCTGACTGGCCACTGGCTGGTGGTCACCTGGCATGCCTCAGTCCTTTCTGGTGGACCACGCATCCTCCAGCAGGCTTGGCTGACATCCTGACATGGTTCTCTCTGGGCAGCGTTTCAAGAGGGCAGGAGTGAATGCAGCAAGACCTCTTAAGGCCAGGTTCCAGAACATATCACTTCCGCCACATGCTGTTGGTCAAAACAAGTCACAAACAGATCAGATTCAAGGGGGCAGAGGGAAAATGCCTTCTTCGGAATGGGAGGAGTAGCAAAAAGTTTTTGGCAATTTTTAATCTTCTGCATATTCTGTTGGCCTAAGCAAGTGATGGCCAAGCCCTGGGTGGTCGGGGTGGGGCAGCACGCTCCGCCCACAGTGGTGGGGAGGGGAGCAAATCTTCACCAAAGGGCAATCCAGACTCTGTGCCAGGGTAAAGGAAAGCCTGGATTTGCAGTTCACAGAGACCTGGATCTGAGTCCTGCCTGTGCTCAGCTGGGTCACCGGGGCTGGGGAAGGACAAAGCCTCCCTGGACATCCATATGTCTGTTTGCAACCAGAGGCTAATGTCACATGTGGGCAGCAGCAAAGGCCAGAGGGCATGGAGGTCAGGCACCCGGCCCCATGCTGGGTCCTGGTGAAACGTCCTCTGGCACCTCACTTAGGCCCTCCCTTCTCTGAATCTGCTCATCCCTGGGGGGGGCATGGAAGAATTGTTACTCTCTGTGCTGACATCATCTTGCTCTTCCCTAGCCATCTCTTCCTCAATCCAAGCAGCACATCACCAGCCAGGCTCCTCATTACCTGGAGTGACATTGTCTTCTAGTAGGACCCATTCTCAGTTCAGAGGAGAAGGGCATGTCTGTGGCTCCAACTAGCATAAATTACACTTTAACGTCAGATCACTACTATAAGCCAAGTCTTCAATTTCCCTGCTGAACAAATTGAATTAATTACCATTGACCATTTGGCTGTGACAGTCAGAACTGAGATCACCCATCAGCTGAATGTGAGGCTGGGAACTGCCAGGAGGGAGGCAGGTGGCCTCTCAGTGGCAGGGCAGGTTGGCAAGACATTGAGGTGTTCCTACAGCTCAGCATTTTGGGGGATGGTTCCCAAGGCAACTTCCTTCCTGCCTCTCTCCTGGTCACTCCTCCTTCCCCTGGGTCTTCATGGCCCACCCATAAGAATTGGGGCTTCGGTATTAGGCAGACCTGGATTTGGGTCCCAGCTTCGCTGCTGACCAGCTGCAGGACCTTGGACAAGTCACTTAACCTCTCTAAACCTCGGCTTGCTGTTCTAAATATGGGGCTTGGTACCCATACCTCGAAGGCTGGCCAGGAGACAATGAGATGATGAATGTGAAGTAGCTGCCCTGATCTGGGGACCCTCAGTGAGTGTTTCTGCTTCTAAACTCTGATCTGAAAACCTACTCTGCACAGAGAACTTTGGTGAGTATGGTGTAAAGGACCTTGTCATCTGTGTCCATTTCCTGGCTCCCAGGTGAGACCAGGAACTCCAGGTGGGCGGGGTCTGTCTGGGCCCACCCTCTCCCCCTGCACCTGGCACATGTTGGGTGCTCAGGAAGATGGAGGAACTTGACTTGGGGCAAGGGACTCAAGCACACGCTGATGGGCTCTTGCACCAGGTGCAGACTCACTGTGCGCCAGGCCACATACAAAGCACTTACGTGCAGGATCTCGTTTGACCTCATAGCGACCCTGGGAGGTAGCCATTCTCCATGCTTTGAGAACAAGATAACACAGGCCTCCAGGGTAAGCCATGCAAATCCCAAGTGCCAGAGCCAGGCTTCAACCCCAGGGCACCTGGCTCTAGAAGCCTCACTCTCAACCCCTGGCTATACTTTGTGGAGGACCTTGACCTTGAACGGCAGGTAGGGGTCATCCAGTGGGGCTAGAGGAAGGGCATTCCAGAGAGTCAGGCCGGCACAGCGAAGGAGGGGTCTCTTGGTGTTTCTGTAGCTGTGAAAGGGGACCGAGGTGGTACAGCAGGAGATGGTTAGGACAGGAGCCTGGCATAAGTTCTCAATGCCAGGCTAAGCAGCTGGAATGACTTGTTAGATGCTCAGCCTCTAAATCATGGAGGAAATGAGTAGCTGAGTGGGTCCTGTGAAGGGAGTCCGCGTAGGGCAGCCTGTCGTTCACCCACGGGCCTGTGTGCGCACTCGCACAGTCTGACGCTCTTCCCCTCTATTATCTCACGCAGTCCTCCCCAGCAGCCCCATCAGGTTGATGCTGGTGTCGT